GTGAAGTGAAAGCAATTCCGCGTACACTCTGATGAGTGTGGTGTGGTGTCGCAGGCCTAATTTCAGTCCCTTTCCCTTTCCACCCTTTTCTTATGAGAGGATGGGAAGGAAAAGTGGCTTTGACGGTGGAGGGGACGCATAGGAAGGGAAAAAAATAGGCAGTGCTGCAATTGCGGATGTCTATGGGCAGCGGTCGCTTTCCATTTCGGTGGATTCAGACCGCTTGCTCGTTTGCCAACTTACTCGTATATTATATAAAAAAAAAACTAAACCCATATTCGTCATTTATCAAACTAATCTATCGGATTTAGACAAACTATAGTAGTGAATACCACAAAACCGATATATATTTTGACATATAGTTTAAAAGAGCTAATCCGGTATGACCAATAACGTCAAATGTTTATCGTCGATGTTCAATTTCAATTAACCGGTTATCCGGATATATCCGGTTGTGTCCGGTCGTAACCGGTTAACCGGCTCAGTGCCGTGACAAAATTTTAATTAATGCACACGTTTGATTGGTTCCGTGAAAATGAATTGTGAATAATAAACATAGGGTTTAGGGTGACAATGATTTTATCTTTTTATAAGTTACCTATGTAGTTTTTTTTAATTCAGGAAATATTGCGAACTAAAACTCCGCCTGCAAGTTAATTAGATAGCATTGAACGGTGAAGAGATAATAATAAAAATGTAATCGCGTATCACTGATTTTTTTCATACAGACACATTTATTGATTGTATATATTGATTTTTGTTCCGCGTCTCGTTTCAAAATGTTTAAACGATTGTTGCTTTTTAGGTGGAACACCGACAGTTTCCCTGATTGTACACATTTCAATTATCTTGTTTGTTGTGATGATATATTCACTCTATATAGTTCAAGGTCAACGGCAAATATATTTAAAATAAATTTCGTCGCGCGATCTTGAGCTAAACTATTTAACTACGTCGTAGTCTTAGACTCCAAAAATCAAACAAAAAAATGGGACCCACCTGCAAGCATTACCTTTCGGATAAAAAAAGAATTATCAAAATCGGTCCACTAGCGGCGGAGTTATGCCGTTACACACATAAAAAAAAAGAACATACAGACGAATTCAGTACCTTCTTTTGGGAAGTCGGACAAAATACTATAACAGAGTTCGTTAAGGATCAAAAGCGTTGTAATTTATGTTCCATTAATATAAACAGATACAAATTTGTTATTCGAAAAAAAATTTAAAAACTATATTTTCGACTAAAATTCACACCTGACAACGTAAATTCACGAACACTTCTATTTCGGAGTTAAAAGTGCTGAAAGCGAAACCGTAAGTTCGGTCGTTCATTATATCTTAGATAACATGTTGATTTGTAACCACAGTAGTTTTATCCTAGATTTAACGATATCATGGTCACTGTACACGTCAGTCCGAACACCGAACAAACTCGATATTATTGATTGAGAGCGCACAGATGGCGGAGTGCGCGATTTGCACAGTTGTACGAATTTAGAAGTATCGCAAATTGAATTGATATTGAAGTGCCAAAGCGTTGTAGATGTTATTAAAGCGTTTGATTGGTCGAACAACCTTAGTACACGCAAAAAGATTGAAAAATAGAGGAAGCATAATTGACATTTTGCATCACTAACGCCGTCTGTTGATAGTTCCTTAAAACCACATGTCCATATAATCTTTATATACATAAAATAAAATTGGAATGTCTGTAATATCAAAAGAAAAATTCCAGATTTCGGGAAGATGATGTAATTGCGTTACTGATAACCTATATCGAATTTTTTTGTCTGTCTGTCATAAGCCGCGTTTGTTCCGGGAAATCTCCGAAACGGTTGGGCCGATTTTGACCGGACTTTCACTGAAGGTTAGCTGACAGACGGGCATATTATTTTTTTATCTTAATAATGCGTAGACGAAGTCGCGGGAAACAGCTTGTCTATGCTGATATTATAAAGAAGAAAGATTTTTATTTTTGTATGTATTGAAATATCTCAAAAACTATTGGTCCGATTTCAAAAATTCTTACACCATTAAAAAGCTACATCAGTGAGTAACATAGGCTATATTTTTTTATGTTCACGTGGACGAAGTCGCGAGGTAGTTGTAAATAAAATAATCTTCATGAATCTGTCTATTTCAGAGTTAGTTACCTAAAACGAGTATCAAATCCTTTCCAAATAACCTAATATTTAGAGAGATTTATTTATATGTTGCTTCATATTAATGTCTTGAAGGGATAATCTAAAATAGCCAACCCTTATCATCCCTTCGCCTTATTTTTTAGGGTTAACGAAGCGGATTGTAGAGGCGAATGTAATTCTTTTTGCAATAAAGGTTATGCGTAAAAACGAATAAAAAACCATTTAAAACTAATTACGTATTAATTTAACATCTTTTTTTTTATATTTAATAAATCTAAAATGATTGTTTTTTTGTATTTATCTTCCAAATCATCCACTTATGCTTTATAGAGGTCGGCACAGTAAGTACTGCTCCATACATCTCTATCAGCCATCATATCTGAATCCACTCTTTTCTTAAGCATATCCTCACACAATCCATCCATACTTTCTTCGGTCTTCCTCTTCCTTTGTATTTATCCTCCAAATATCATAATTAAAAAACAAAAATTGAAAATAACGCCATCTATTAAAAAAAATATTAAACTAACCCAATTCATTGAACAAACAGTTCAGGTTAGTTCAGGTAAGTTTATTTTAAAAATACCTTTTTTTTATAACCGTCGTATTTTAGATTTTCAATTTAAAACGAGCATACTTTAGCCTGCGATGTCCAGATGTTGTTTAAAAGTTTTCTTAAGCACTGCAGTATATTAGGGTGACCATACCCTACACGTGAGACTTGAGGAATGCCTAAATAAGACATACCTTAGTCAAAAATCCCCTAATGCCCTAAGCGCTTACAAACATAGCTAACACGTTGTGAGAAGGCTTAAGCCATAGTAAGACTAGACTTCAATCACTTTTCTTATGCGTATTGACTACACATTAAATTTACTATTTACTACTAGTTGTTGCTTGCGATTTTGTCCGCATGAAATTAAAAAATAATTAAAAATATAGCCTATGTTACTCACTGATAACGTAGCTTTTTAATGGTAAAAGATATTTTGAAATCGGTCCAATAGTTTGTGAATTATTTCAATACATACTAAAATACAAATCTTTCCTCTTTTATTAGTATATATAAGAAATATAATAGTAGGACTGTCCTGGTTTTAAGAAAATGTGGTGTACCTATTCTCTAAAACTGTAGGTGATACATGGGATTACTTTGGTCCTGGGGGTGGTTAGGTTGCCGGGGGTGTTGGGGGTGTGAGGCTGGGGGCGCGGGGGGCGGCACAAAGCTTCCTTCGTCCGCTTTTAGTCTAATTTTAAATATATCTTCAAGAAGCATATAAATCATTTGAAGAAACGTTTGCAAGGAACATTTCGAGACAGCCTTTTGCATGAAGCTTATAATGGTAGTAGGGTTTGTTGTTAAATGAACGATTTTTAAGACTTCAAGGGTTGAAATTTAATAAAAGGGTTAACTATCTATACTATTATAATAAAGCGTAAACACACTTCTTTGTTGCAAGATGTCAGCAATCACAGCATATTTTTGAATAATTCTTTTTTTAATAAAAAGCCCAACACTTACGTCACGCTTTAGGCTATATATTTTTACGCCATTACACTTAAGGGGTAAATATTTAGGATAAAAACCCTAATGTGAGAAAGAGATTATAAGTTGCTGCCAACATCAAGGAATCAAGATTGCCATAGTAAGGTAATTGGTATTTTGACATTTGCTATTGATAATTTGACAAATGTAAACAGTAATATAAAGTTTTTATAATTTCGGATGAAGCCGCACGAGAACAGCTAGTAGGTAATATAATCTTACTAATGTTATTAACTAGCTTTTGCTCGCGACTCTGCGTGGAATTAAAAAAAACGAAAGTAAGTATCCTATGTGTTCCACTCTCTACATGTATGACAATCTTCGAGATCCGTTTAGTTTAGGATACAGACTAACATACATATAAATTCTCCTATTTATAATATTATTAAGAAGTAAGATAACCTCGCAAATTTTTTTAAAAATTTTATCTCAAAGGTGAAAGGTCAAACTACCTTTGACCGCGTCATGTATGTTCATGGCGTTTGAATAATAAAATAAATACGCCATTCGCACGAAATAACACGCACCCTACGCCTTTCCATACCATTGGCTCCCCCAGGGGATGTTAGGGGTTGTTATATTCAATTATGGAGCGTTTTTAGAGAATTTGACTGGTGCAATATGCACAAATGTTGTAGAAAGATTGATTTTTGTGTGTATAACGAACTATCTATACTTCTACACTATTATAATAAAGCGCAAACACACACTTCTTTGTTGTCTAAGATGTCAGCAATTACAGCATGGTTTTGAATAATTCTTTTTAGCTCTACACTTACACGCTTTAGGCTATATATTTTAACGTCATTAAACTTAGAGCGTTAATTATTTTGGATAAAAACCCTAATGTAGGAAAGAGACCATAAGTTGCTGCCAACATCAAGGAAGCAAGGTTGTCATCATGTCATGTCATTTTGACATTTGCAATTGATAATTTGACAAATGTAAACAATAAAATAAAATTTTCATAATTTCATGCGAATGAAGTCGCACGGGAACAGCTAGTCATAGTATATTTTTGAATAATTCTTGCTTTTAAAAAAGCCCTACACACACGCTTTAAGCTATGAAATATCACGCTATTAAACTTTGAAGGTAAATAATTTAGAAAAAATCCCTCATGCGGGAAAGCGACAAAAACAAGTCAATAGCAAAGAACTAAGATTGCTAGACACTGCAAGAGTTTTTTTTTATAACATAAGGTGGCAAA